TAAATCTTTATGGAACTAGATTGCTTAGTCCTGCTTCCATGGAGTGTCCAGTGGGTTTGAACCACCAACCTTATCGTTAGCAGTCAGATGCCTTAAGCATTGTGCTACCAGAGCTCCTTAGTTATATACATATAGACCATTTATAACCATTAACATTTTCAAAACAAAAACCCTAATGCTGTTATTGCTGCATGGCACCATACTGATGTTGGGAGCAGGATACATATCCCTGGTTGAATTTTATTTGTGGAACTTTATATTTAACATGTGTACCTGAATATGGGTAATAACACTTAGCATTCTTCTGTATTTTAGTTAAACGCTTAGAGTAACACTTCCATAAAAGATTTCTGGATATAGGGACGCCTTAAAATAATTTGAAAATCAATGGGTGAAGTGTTACTTGCAGAAGCTTCCTAGAAACTGACTTCTGGGATTTAGGTGGCAGCCACTGCAGAATTCAGTGTCAGGAGGTGGATACATCAAAGTCCTATTATTAAGTCACCAGGGAATTCCGCTGTTGCCAAGTGGAAGAGCAGTGTGTTAAATTCTTCCACAATACCAAGTCTTCATTCACTCTTCATTTGGATTTAGCGATTCTAACTGGACCTACAAAAAAATTTATTCTTGCTTTATTTAGGTTGATTCTGGGAATGTATGGTTGGAAAGGAGAGCTCACTTTGCTATCTTCCCCCCCACACACACTTTTTCTTCATTCCCGTGACAACAGGAGAACAGAGGACTCATGAAAAAGTAAATTAAGGACAAAAAAAAAAAATTCAAAATCAGAGAGAGACTGCCAGCATCAGGTTTGGGAATATGGAAGCTTATAAAGAGGGAAATTTAACTTTACTGGTTTTGGTTCAGGAGTTTTGGTCACTAAGGCATTAAGCCACTAATCAAAAGGTCAATGGTTTGAGCCCACCAGCCACTCTTCAGGAAAAAGATGAAGCAGTCTGCTTCCGTAAAGATTTACAGCCTTAGAAACCCTGTGGGACAGTTCTACTCTGTCCTATAGGGTCGCTATGAATTACTATCAACTTGATGGCAGTGGGTCCCCCTCCCCTTGGAGCTGGGGGAGGGGAGCAGGGCAGGGATGGGAGTTGATTCCTCTGTTTAGGCTGTGTAGCATAGTGGTTAAGAGAGTGGAATTTGTAGGTGGACCTGAGTTGGAGTACCAGCTCTGCCTTCTTATTACCTGTGAATTAGGCTTCTTTATTTGCAAAAGGAAAATGATACCTTTTGGTACTTACCTCATGGCTTCTTGTGAGGATTAAGCAAGATAACAAATGTTAAGTAGTATTATGAAGTCCATATAGGTATAATCTTGATAAGACATTTTCTTTTCTAACAAACTGAACTAAAGGACTGTTGTTCTTCAAAGTTGAGACCTTGTGGGGCCACAGTTTTGTTCTAGGATACCGGTTCTCAGCACTGTTTCGGACTGCATTATGAGGCCATTTTGCAACCACATGAGGAAAACATCCTTTTTAGCTTATATCATGGTTTGCTTTGGACCCTAAATAGTATTTTCTGCCTTATTTATCAAGGAACCCTGGCAGTGCAATGGCTAGGTGCTGGACTGCTAACTAAAAGGCTGACAATTCAGACTCACCCTGGGGCTTTGTGGGAGACATGGTGATCTGCTTCTGTAAAGATTACAACCAAGAAAATCCTATGGGCAGTTCTACTCTTACATTGGTTCACTATGAATCAAATCAGCCAAATACAAGATTCAAATAAGTGTACCTTTATTTTGGACATGTTACCAGGTGGGTCTAGACCCTGCAGAAGAATATTGTGGTTAGTCAAGTAGAGGGTCAACGAGAAAGAGGAAGACCTTCAACAAGATGGATTGACAGTGGCTGCAACAATGGGCTCAAGCACAGCGAGGATCGTGAGGATGGTGTGGGACTTGGCAGTTTTTTGTTCTGTTGAGCTTGAGGTTGCTATGACTCAAAACCAACTTGATGGTACCTAACAACAGTGGTGCAGTGTTTAAAGCATATGGCTGCTAACCAAAGGTCAGCAGTTCAAACCCACCAGATGCTCCACAGGAGAAAGATGAGGCAGTCTGGTTCTATAAAGATTTATAGCCTTGGAAACCCTCTGGGGCAGTTCGTCTGTCCTGTAGGGTTGATAAAAGAATTGACTCTTTGGCAGTGAGTTTGGTTTTGGTTTTGGACTCTTAATATAAAGGTCCCTACATGGCTCAAATGGTTTGCGCTAGACTGCTAACCTAAAAGTTGGTGGTTTGAACCCACCCAGCAGTACTGCAGAAGAAAAGGTCAGGCAGTTTGCTTTTGTTAAGATTGTTAGTTGCCTTCCAGTTGATTCTGACTTAGGGCAGCCTGTTGCCAAAAAAACTTCTATGGAGGTTTTTATGTGTTACTCTAATGCATGGGGTCACCTACAAGTCTGAATCAACTTGTGGACAATTAGCAACAACTCTTAACAAAAATTACCCTTGAGGACTAGCAGACCATGTGATCCTCAGCCTATATGACCATGAGACCAGAAAAAGTAGATGGTGCCCAGCCACCATCAACCATTCAGAAATGGATCAATGCAGGGGATCCTGGATAGAGTGGGAGAACAATGTGGAACAAAACTCAAAATCATAAAAAAAAAAAAAAAAAGACGAGGTTTACTGGTGTGATAGAGCCTGGTGAAACCCCCAAGACTTTGGCCCCTAGTTTCCATTCAGGTCTGGAACTGAACTCACTCCCATGGCTTTCAGCCAAACCATAGGCCTATGGGGTGAAAATTTACATCAGGTAGATACACTCCTTGGAGCCATCAGTCCATCAATCTGGAAGAACAGAAGGGCAGTGTTTGGACAGGGAGGCAGCTGGGGGTGGGCACGAGTGCATGGGAAGGAAGGACATAAGGAAGAGGTAAGTATGGGTAGGAAGTGGGAAGAGAACTGTTACACTGTGGGGAATTGCAGTCAATGTCATGAAACAAAATGTGTATGAACTGCTGTATGGAAAATTAATTTGCTCTGTAAACTTTCACCCAAATCACAATAATAAAAAAAGAACCCTTGAGCCAGAGACAGGTTACTGTGATGCTAATAAAGTTTAAGGGCACCCAGATGTCACAGTGTTAAGTACTCACCTGCTAACTTAAAGGTTGGCAGTTTGAACTTACCAGCTGTTCCAGGGCAGAAAGATGTGACAATCTGCTTCCCTAGAGATGACAGTCTTGGAAACCCTATGGATCAATTCTCTGTCCTATAGGTTGCTCTGAGTGGGAATCGATTGGAGGGCAACTGGTAATAAAATGAGTCTCTTACTTTTACAAACATGCACTTCCAAGACACCTCCTAAATTTGTCTTTTTATATATATATTTTTCAGGATGCCAACATTTGTATACGTTTTATGCCCCATAACACAGAAACCACAGTATTTAGCTTGGTACTGTGCACGTACTAGGTTTTCAGTAATTTTTGATAGGTTATAGGTTCTGGGAAATTTAAATGAACCTCTAATGTATCAGGCAATCCTGTAGGCCACTGTTGATCTCCTCTACTCCCTAAACTGAGTGAGAAGTTGAGATAGGCAAGGAAGTGAATGACTCTACAGAAGTGAGTTTGTTGGGTTTCTGTGGAAAGACAGGTTTAGACTAAGGCGAGGGCAAGAACCAAATGGTAGGGGTGGAGGGTGAAAAAACAAGGTTTAGGAATATCGGGAGTAACTCTCCTTTGAAACGGCTCTTTCGACTCCGTAGATGGGTGTATCTGCCATTTGTTGTTGCCGTTATGTGCCGTCCAGTGGGACCAGACTAATAGCCACCCTTCCTGGGTTTCCAAGGTGGTCTCACTATACGGGGAGCTCTGGTAGCATAGTGGCTAAGACACTTGACTGCTAACCAGACGGCTGGCGGTTCAAACCCACCAGCCACTCCTCGGAAGGAAGGTTGGGCAATCCTACTTCCGTAGTGATACTGCCTCGGAAACCCAAGGAGGGGTCGCTATGAGTCGGGGCCGACTCCACGGCACATAACAACAACATCATCATCACTATACGGAAGTAGATTGCCCAATATCTGCCATAGAAACTACAAAACCATATGCACTGCCAGTGGAATCAGATCCGACTCATAGCGACCCCGCTTTGAGTTTCCCAGGCAGTATCACTACGGAAGCAGATTGCCCAATCCTCCTTCTGAGGAGTGGCTGGTGGGTTTGAACCAGCAGCATTCTGGTTAGCAAATGCCTTAGGGGCACTATGCCACCGGAGCTACCACATCTGCCCTACTTTATGGGTATTAATTAGCTCCAGACCCCGTGGAAAAAATGCCTCTGCTGTCATTTGTGCTTAACATTAAGTCATACCTTTAGCAATTTCCCCCAGATTCTGAGGTGCCGCCAGTGATGTGGGAAAAGGAACCAAGAAGGCAAAGAGGCAGTTTTCTAATCGTCATAGGGGATGATATTCTATACAAAATTCTGTAGCAAAACGACGACAAGCCAAATCACTCTTAAATCGTGTTATACGTAGTCCCAAAAAGATGACCTAGACAGAGGTCCGCATGCATGGCGATGGGCACAACTGGGAATAACGCCAGCAGCCGCGATAAGAAAGATTAGGGAGCTATGCGACACCGGCGGAAATGCGGGAGGGCCAAAGAGAAGCAATGCCGGCGCGGTCTGTAGGAGGCGGGGTTTTGGGGGGCCACGCGACTCGAGGCGTAGGTTCTCCGCTTCTCTTTGGCCGCAGACGAGGAGGGAGGAGCCATTGCCACCCGCGGCCTGTTGCCCCGCAGCCTTGCCGCCACCAGGGGCTTACACCATAGACCCCTTTGTGTGCCTGCCCCCGCCCCGGAGGCGCCCTAGCCAGCAGCGCTGAGTACCTTCATTGGCTTAGCCGGCGGCTTTACTGATTGGTTCTCGAATCATTCGGCTAGGTCCGCTTCTTCTGGAAGTTATTGGTTGCCTGAGCTGCCTTTCAGGCCGTCTCGCGATGTGATTGCCCGGCAGCTAGGAGTCCCTGGAAGCAGTTCCGGGAAACCCCGCGTGCTGCTGGGATCGCGTCTCTGTCCATGAGGGGGGGAGGGGGTGGCGCGCGCGCCATTTCTAGTCGTTTTGAAAGCGCCTCGCGCTGATTCTTACGGGCCTGGCCGCCGGCCCCTGCTCTACCCTGGTGAGTCTCGCGCTGGCTTGTGGGGGGAGGGGCCGGGAGCCCCGATCCGACCCGACTCGGCCCAGCCAGGGCTTGGCGCCATGTCCCCAGTTTCGTTTTCGCTCCGAGGCCCCGGGGTGGGGGTGGGGATGGGCTGGGGGCGGCTTCGGCCTCGTCCGGCCGCGCTGCTTTGGGCCTAGCCCCGCTGAGGCGCCTTCTTGACTTCACTTACCCTCTTCCAACCCCCGTCCCACGGTCAGACTCGCCGGGCGCTATCCGTGCGGCCTGTCGAGTCGGCCGCGCTTTTCCCGCCTCTGTCCGCTGCTCCATGCGGCTGGGTCCCGCGAAGGGCCCGAGGCGTCCGCGGTCACATCTCTTCTGCCCGCCAGATCCGCTTTGCTCCTGTTTCAGGCAACCCAGCCGCAAGTGTACTGTGTTGATACTCCCGACGGGCATGAAGGGGTGAGGTGGGCAGCGGGCGGGATGCAAATCGCGAGGTTACCTGAGCGAGGAGAAAACTTTTGTGTGAGCTGAAACTGAAAGGCCGATCTGTGTGGGAAGCCTGTCTCTCCTCCCTCATCCTGCATGCTGTGAGCTGAGATTTGAAGGAAAAAATGACTATTAGGGGCCGTGAAACTTAGGCTACAAGCGGCGCCTAAGATATATAATTCTAAGACTGTCACAGGCTCACTAAATAAGGGCGATTCTTTTTGTTAGACGGTAGTAACCGTGTTACCAAAACTTGAAAATTGAAGCTAAAAGGTTCTTGAAAGGTTCAGTCCTCTCTACCTGTTTGAGACTTTTGCTATTCTCAAGAGGCTGAATTTATGTTCTTAGGAGTCAGTCGTAGGACAAGGGCTTGACACTCCTAAGCCATGAGATAACCGTTAGTTTCCATTTCGCTGGTTCTTTAAAGTTCGTCTCTTAATGTGAAGAATTTGCGCAGAATGTTCAGAAAAAGTTAGGGAGGGGCTAGGGCTGACTTCCCAAATCTCCTAGTAGCCCTTTTTAAATCTTATTTTACTTTCTACTTTTTGTAACAATATTTAGATCCAGTGAATACGGTCATATTAGTATATTTGCTGCATCCAGAAATATGGTTTGGCTGTGTGCCATTGTGTTGAATTGACACGAGTTTTAAATGGTCTCTCATACGATATGAAAGTCTTTTTAAATGAGCGCTTTATATTTGACTTGTGAAGAAATTTTTCCTTGATTTGAAAGGTTTGATTTTCTGGAATCTAACTATAGTGTTTTTGGTTAAACTTCATAAACTTTTTGAAAATTATTTGAACGAGCTTCAGTATCAACTTGTAGAGCTTTTGCAATTAAATAGTAGACATAAATATTTCTGCCTTGTGCTTAATACACAGTTGTCTTTTTTGCTTTACACATACTTTTAAAACAATACCACCTCAACAGATGTTCATTGAACTTTTTCTGTTAAAAATTTGCTTCCTTTCTACGACTAATAGTATTCCCAGATGCAATGCTAGAAGGGTCTTGTGATAACTGAGAACTTTTGAGTTCTAATGCTCTTATGGTTGTATTTGGGAGTGGGGAGCATGGGAAAACACAATATTTTCACAATGAGATTTTGGACTTTAGAATGCATCTTTGTATTAATTAGTAATGTGTTCATCTTACACGATAAGCAATAAGCAGTTTTTTAATCAAAAGTGTTTAGTTTTTAATATTTTTGTTTTTGCTAGTTCATCAAAATTTGAGGTTTGCCTTGAGAAACATTTATCCATTCAATTTAACCAAAACATCTGTGTCTGTGTAGACATAAGTGGGCTAACATGAGAAATCATGATACTGTTATCTCTTGTCTAGAGTTAACCTTTCTTGGGTTTTCTTTCCACTTCTTTTCTATTACCTCCTCTCACTCTTGGTCTTTCTCCTTCTATTAACTTCAACTAAGTATCAGTGGACTTTGAAATGAAAAGAAGTTATTTTAAGTCAGAAAATCGCACTGGAGCATTTGCACAGTGTTTGATAAGCAATCTGGACGTGTGGTTATCTTACGTGTCTTAGCGCTTTGTGTTTCTTTTAAGCTGACTAGCTATCTTGAGTTTCATTAAGAAAAGTAGGCTTCTTCCTGAGATCCGCCTTCATGTCCATTTTGTGTTGCAGTGTCTTTTATTCTGCCTATTATCTTCATCAAATTATAATTTCACCACAGACAAATGCTCTTTAATTTCCCGTCTTCTGAGGCAGTGTAGAGACTGGCCTTGTATGGTTTTATTAGTTTAGCTTTCTCTTCAGGGAATTGATTCATTTTAGCGTTACTTTAACAGCTGACATGCAACATTTTTGGTATGGTTAACATGAGGGATGTGACCTAAGTTTATCCTAATTAGGCAATATTTGTTAAAACTATTTAAAAGAAGTCAGTTGTCCATTCTTCAATATATTTTGCAGTTTTGTTTTACTGAATGAAAAATTCAACATGTACTTTAAAAAAAAAAAAGTAACCTCAACCATAGCTCACTTTTTATTTTATGTGGACTTAAAACAATTGTTTAGCTTTTAATCTTGGTCATTTTTTCTTTTAAATCTGTGAATGGGAATAGCAAATTAATTTTAGGACAAAAATTAACTCAAGCTGTGTTTTAAGTGAGGTGGAGAAAACCCAAACCATCACCATGTTGGACTAGCAATAACAGGGCAATTACTGGCTTTAAAGCAGAGCTAGGAAAATCTGAAAGTCCTTAAACTTCGATTAAGTGGTCTGTGGGTATTCATTTTGTTTGTAAACCAAACTTTTAAAAACTGTTTCAAGAATTGAGAGCTTGAGGGACTTTTAGGGTTTTTGGTGACTTGTTGATTCGCTCACCAGGACACAACAGCTGCTTTTGTTAATCAGCGATCCTGTCAGTAAATCTAAGCTTTTATTTAACCAAGTGTACATGAAGTTTCTTAAAGATGTAATGCTTCTATGTACATTTTCTATGGTTTCACAGGATTATTCTTGGAAATTTAGGCTAGATACATCACAAAATATTATTTTGATAGAGGTTATTAGCAGCATGTATACAAATTAGTTTAGATAAATCGTGCATTGTCCTACAAACTAGTTATTTCTGGCTTAATGTAATATAGCTCCTGAATTTTTTCCAGCAGCATAATAAAATGGCTAATCAGGTGAATGGTAATGCGGTACAGTTAAAAGAAGAGGAAGAACCAATGGATACTTCCAGTGTAACTCACACAGAACACTACAAGACACTGATAGAGGCAGGCCTCCCACAGAAGGTGGCAGAAAGACTTGATGAAATATTTCAGACAGGTATAATATGCATTTCTTGTTTCTGACTGGTTATGAAAGTGAGGGCAAACCACTTTGAATTTTATAGATTTTTAAGGTTAAATAATACTTATTGTTTCTGATATGTAGAGCTGAATGTTTGTTACTTTCCCTTCATTGAGGGCATACTGGGTTTGATTTTGATATTCTTATTATTTTGAAACGTCTTTAGGGTTGAATATGCAGTCTTAGTTGTTTTCAGAATAGAACATCAATTTGTCTTAGATTTATCACTGATAATAAAATGTATGTTTCAGAGTACCAAATTTTTCAGTTTTTCTTAATCTAAATCAGCCATCATTTTGCTTTTACTTTTCTCTTTTAGCTTCTTAAAGTGATTGTTAAATCAGTTTAGGTTTGATTAGTTGACATAATATGAGGAATAGTTAGACTGTATTGCCTGTAATCATAATAAATGTCAGATTCCTTAAGAATTTGTGGCCTGCCTAATTTCTAATAGACAGTAATCCACATCTCTAATTTGGAAGTGTGTGTTGTGTAACAGCTGTTTTTTTTGTTTGTTTGTTTTTTTCTTAATCCAGAAGTCCCATGGTTAGGTGCTTAAGCAAATTTGAACATCTTAATATGGTTGGTTTTAAGTGGTTTGCAGTTTTAAAGAGGGAAAGAAATGTTTACCCTTAGGGAGCGTTGTTCATAAATAAATGTGTCCTCCTCCTTTGGGGCCATAGATGGAAACTTTCTTCCTTTGTGTTTTGTGTGCTTATTCAGATTCTAGGAGCGGAGAGAGAATTGAATTATCTCTCAAATGTGTGTTAAGTACAGTAGTAACAAAATACTAGGTTTTTATTTTAAAATCCTTAATTATTATTATTATTTTTTTTTTTATAAATTTGAGAAGCTCAGGATAATTTTAGACACTAAAATGACTTCTAAAAATGACTTGGGTGATGGTCCCATTTGAAAATCAGTCCTCAGGAACTTTGCTGTGACATTCTGCCTTTGAGAATTGGCAGTGATCTGCTTAGATATGCTCTCTTGTAGAGTGTTTTGTTATTAATAAGAGGCTGATGGTTTGGGTGTAGGTATAGATTGACAGTGGATCGATGGGGGTGTCCTGAGTTGTGGCTTTGGGTGGTGGTGTGGAATAAATAAAGAAACTCCATCTAGGTGTGCTCACTTTGAGCTCTTAAAACAAACCATAACATTTTTTCTTATTATATAAATTAACTTTGCAAGTGGCATTACATTTATTTAAAAGTATTCACTGTATGGAATAACGGTGTGGTTTTCCTTTTCTTTTCTTTTTTTATTTGCTTTACCAAAATGTAGTCACTTTTGCTGTTAGTTCATATGGACTTGGGGGATTTAATATGCCACATATTTTCATTTTACATTGGATCAATTCTGAAATAGATTCCTGTTTCTTTGTATATATAACACAAAGTTGAACTGTTAAGCAATTATGTTTTAAACTGAAGTAGTTCTGTGTGCAGTTAAAAATACTACATACATAGAATGCAGTGTGTATATTTTCTATACAGTTTACTTTTAAGTCCATAGTCAAGTCCTTAATGCTTTTGGAAAAGATTGCCATTTTGACAGTCAGTGTTGTGAATGCCACAGCATCTTTTAATCTCACCTTGTCACCTCAGAAGAACAAAGAACGTCTTAAAATACATGACTTTCAGAATTGATTCATCAAGCTGCATTTGCATTTGTAGAAGAGTTTAAGTTTTGCCTTTCCACATTCTGACTGCAGCAAAGTAGATGCTCAGATAAACAAGTAGCATTTCAATTTATCTTCGTTGCTAAGGAGGGAAAGCCTTTGACAGTTTACTGGAGAGTGGAAAGAATTGTTTAGTAAAAGTGGTTCTCCGCCCCCCCTTCCTCCCCACCTCTTGTCTGGTTGCACTTGACGTGAAGTTAGCAAGAACTACGATAGTCCATAATTTGAAGGTAGATCTTTGGGATTATTCTTACTACTCTAAGATAAACCATAATGTTAAGGCTCAATCTGTAGTACAATGTGTACTTCAGATTTAACTTCCAAGACATACTTTTTGGGGATTGGGAAGTGGGGTTAGGATTTTATTTTTCTGTGGGATATAGGAATTGAAATTCTGGTTTATAGGTATTCACATTTTGTATTTTACTTTAATATTTGTACTCAGTCTTCCTGTATAATACTGATATAGCTGCATTTATGCATATAGTTAAATAAAAATGTAGTAAATGATGGTATTGAATATAATAATTCTTGATTAAACATTGACAGGACAATTTAGATTACCCTTTTTGTTGCAATAATGTTACTACTTTTCACTTTAATTTTTAGGATTGGTAGCTTATGTCGATCTTGATGAAAGAGCAATTGATGCTCTCAGGGAATTTAATGAAGAAGGAGCTCTGTCTGTACTACAGCAATTCAAAGAAAGTGACTTATCACATGTTCAGGTAAGGTCATTACTCGGAAATGTTTGTGAACAATTAATGATTTGAAATTGTTTTACTGTTAGTTTTTTTTCCTGTGGAAAAGCGGGTTTTGGTTTGTGGCTACCTCTGCTGCTTTTTTTTTTCCTAAAGTGCTACTAGCAAAGAGTTGCAGAAGCACAAGTATGAAGTAAAAGTCCTATCCTGTCCCCCCTTTTGGTAGTAAGTTATTTTAAAACACTTACAAGTAATTGTTGTTATTAGCTTTTTTACATGCTTAAGTTGTTCAGTCTTTTACATATATTGGGTTGTTCATCTGATGCTGTTTTATCTTGGAGGGCAATAATGTAGGTAGGAGGAATAGTTTCAGAATATCTGGCTAAGATAGCCTAGACCCAGATAAATATCAACAAATGGAAGATTGTTTTCCAAGTGTAGAAGGTAAGCTTTCTGAGGCCTTGACTGTCTTTCACTACTAAAGTCTACTCAAGTCTCTGGCTTATATTTGTTGAATGCATGACTAAATATTTTTTAAAAATATTTTTCTTCTGAAATCTAAATTTAATTATTATTTGACTCTTCAAAGATACTTGTGACTCTTTTTCATTGAATTACTTGTCTCTTCTAGAACAAAAGTGCATTTTTATGTGGAGTTATGAAGACCTACAGGCAAAGGGAGAAACAGGGGAGCAAGGTGCAAGAGTCCACAAAAGGCCCTGATGAAGCAAAGATCAAGGTAAAACTTGAAGAGTTGCAATGAAATTAAATTTAATGATTAGTTAGAACACTTCTTTTCATGTTTTTTTTTAGTTATTATAGCTTTTCTGAGGAACTCTGGTAGTGTAGTGCCTAAGGCACTTGACTGCTAACCAAAAGGCTAGTGGTTCAAACCTACCAGCCACTCCTCAGAAAGAAGGTTGGGCAGTTTACTTCCATAGTGATACTGCCTCAGAAACCCAAGGAGGGGTCGCTATGAGTCGGGTCCAACTCCACGGCACATAACAACAACAACATAGCTTTTCAGGGGTACCAAAAAGGGCATGGGGCTGGCATCCTCCTCTGACCTCCTCTGACTTCAAAAGAGAGAGAGAGAGACAGAATCACCATCAGCAGCCCAGGACTTAATCCTTTGAGGCCACACATGCCACCACCCTCAGCCTTTTTACCAACTCTGACACCAGTTGTCCCTCCCAGAGCACTCAGTACTTCTCTGCTGGGTTTGATAATTCTTGTTGCAGTGGCCAAACAGAACTCAAAGACAGTACTCACAATTATGGGGTTTACTGAGGAAGTAACAGGCTACAATTCAAAATCAGGAATGCTCTCAGGATATAGCTCTTTGATCAGGACAGGCTCCCCTCTGCTGTGCCCTCAGGCAGGCTTATCTGGGTCTTGGCCTGGCCTCTTCCCTGCTCCAGCAGGGGTTACAAAGCTCTTTTAGCTCTGCTGATAGGTGTACTACACTCCACCAGCAAGCCTTCTGCCCAGAGGCACTCAGCTTTCTCACTCTGGGCCAACAAGCCTGCCACTCTGTCTCATGCCTCTTGGTTCCACTCTACCTCTGGTTCTCCTCTCTCGATGGCAGTGAAATCCCTCTTTCTGTCTTGTAAGAATGTTCATTTTAAGCCTGGCAGAATGACAAAACTAACCAGTCCCCACATTAGATTGCATGGTACCACCCATTCATCTGGTGGGAGTCACAAAGATCATGGCTAGAAAACTGTACCAAGTAATCCCACAAAGGGATTTTTGTTGTTTATTTTTTAACTAATATTTAGAAATTACTTAAGGGGGGAATATCTCCTAATTAGTACGTAAGAATTAGAAACTTGGGGCAAACATTCAAATTTATGTTTGATGAAGAAACTTAATTTAAATTCTCCTTCATTCTATGTATCTTATTGATGTTTCAAATACTATTTTCTTAGAATGATCCAGTAATGTCTCTTTTTTAAAAAGCATTTGGTTCACTTTCTTTCTACTTTGTTTTTTGTTGGTAAAGAAATGTTATTAGTTATAATTGTTGTTCTTTTAAGGTTTCATTTACCTTTGTTGTCCTCTTGTTTATTTGTCAAATGGGGATAATAGTAGTGCCAACTCATGAGTTATTTTGGGGGCTGAATTAATTAACATAAGTAAAATATTGGAATAGTGCCTGGAATGCAGTGAGAACTATATAATATGAGCCCATTATTATTACTTTTGTTACTGTCATTAGATAATACTGTTTGAAAGTTGAATATAGGGTTTTAGTGAATCAAGTGAACCTAATTCCCTTGTGAAAGGAATATTGATGACTGACTATAATCTATGTAGATAGACTATAGAATTTTGACATATTTGATTATTTTAAAGTCTTCTAAGAATGAGGTTGTGCCATTTTTCAGATGAGAGAAAGAAATGCAAAGAATCTCTATATAACCTAGTTACATGTATGATAATATGGCAGATGCTACAAGTTACAATGCCTGTCTGAAGCATACCCCTTCCACTTCACTGGAGACATTAAATAAAATACTATTCCACATTAAAAGATCTATCACTGCAGTCTAACTGTGACTGTTGCCTAACTGTAAAATACCTATGTGTATATGTTAATGTGTTAACATTTATTAGTATTTGTAAGTATATGTAGTGGGCCTCCATGTAAGAATTCATTTGAAAGAAGGGTTCCATTGCTAAAGTTTTTAATTAGGAAAAAAAAAAAAACTAGCAACCAACTTTTCCAGAGGTTTATAAATAATACATGAATGTATAATAAAACCAAACTCTCTGCCATCAAGTAGATTACAACTCGTAATGACCCCCGTTGGGTTTCCAAGGCTGTAAATCTTTACGGAAGTTGACTGCCTCATTTTCCATAAAGCAGCTCATGGGTTTGAACCACTGACCTTTTGGTTAGCAGCCACCTTAACCACTACATCATCAGAACTCCTTTAAATATATAATACACATATTTTTTTTATATATAACATATATATATTTCTATGTTTAAAGGTAGGAGGAGCTGCTTTTGTGTCAAAAGGTAGTAGAATGAGGGACCTAAGATATTCCTGTCGAATCCCAAGATTCTCCAAATGCATTTTTAAATCTGTTGAACTTGATAACTAAAATTTCTTATTGATCGGACATTATACAATTCAAAAACACCCAAACTGTTTAAAAAACCTCCATCCCTATGTAACACAAAACACAACCACTGCCGTGGAGTCGGATCCGACTCATAGTGACCCCTCCTTGGGTTTCCGAGGTGGTATCACTACAGAAGTAGATTGCCCAGCCTTCTTTCCAGGGAGTGGCTAGTGGATTTGAACCGCCAGCCTTCTGGTTATCAGTCAAAAGCCTTAGGCACTACGCCACCAGAGCTCTCCCCCTCCTTATGTAGATTATAGTTATTTATTTTGTGTTACCAGATTCTGTTCTGTAAGCCTTTCATATAACTGTTGGCTTCAATTGTAATACAAACTCCCTAAGTATAAGTACATTATCATCTTTTTTATGATTCTTCATCATACCTAATGTAAGATTGTGAGTAAGTTTTGTAATCAGAAAACTTTTTTTGGGGGGGGGAATTTACATACACTCATTTGGTAATTGTTGGCAAATATTTTGAGTCTATTCTGTGAGAAATGGTTTGGTTCTGAAGGAACTTAACCTTGTAGCAGGAGTATGAAATAAGGATCAAACTTCAAGTACAATAGAAAGAATAGGAAAAGATGGGTGAATGAGTAATACTAAATGGTGAAAGCTGTATTAAGTTTTTTTGTGTGTGTGCTGATTTTTGAAAGATGCAGCACATTTTATCTGAAAATAATCACTTGTGGAAATCACTGTGGTATGTAAAAAGGATTAGTAATAAGAGAAATTTAATTGAAGTAGTTGTGAGCTTTTGAGTTGATTCTGGCTCATAATGACCCTCTATCACCCTATAGCAGCTTAGGGTTTTCTAGCCTGTAAATTATGAGATCAGAATGCCAGGTTTTTTCTCCTGTGGAACTGCTGGTAGGTTTGAACTGTTGAACTTTGGGTTAGCAGCTGAGTGCTTAACCATTGTGCCACCAGAGCTCCTAATTGAAGTAGAACCAAAACCAAACCCATTGACTTTTGAGTCTTCCAACTCATAGTAACTTTATAGGACAGTAAAACTGCCCCAGAGAATTGAAGTGGAAGGAGGATGCAAAATGAGCAAGGATAGTCATATGTCTAGTAGATACCTGAACACCTTATAAAGGAATGCAGGATGTTTGGAACTGATTACTAAAACTGGTACTAGTAACACACCATATTAGATGCATGGTAGAGTTAGGGAGAAGTGATTACTTCATTCTGTTCTTTTTTAAGTCTAAATTTGAACAGTGGTTGTCCTTCCTCTATTCCCTGACCCCTTTTCCCCAGAAAAGTTGCACAGAAGGTATTCATTGTTTGCTCTGAGACATTATTGATGGGAATAGGCTATACAAGAGAAAAATGTGGAATCAGATAAAAGATTAAACACATTGGTCTGTATTTGAACAAAGAAGCAATTCTTCCTCCATCTGTACATGAATAGGTAGCTTGGGGCCAGTTTGTGAAGAACTTTTAATAATCCTTGTCAGTGTTTACTCATGATAAAAAAGTGATAGTACTGAGAAACTAAGTTTGTCTATAACTTAAATGTATGAAAACAAAACCAAAAACCAAACCCACTGTCGTGGAGTCGGATCTGACTCATAGCGACCCCTCCTTGAGTTTCTGAGGCAGTATCACGATGGAAGTAGATTGCCCAACCTTCCAAGGAGTGGCTGGTAGATTTGAACCACCAGCCTTCTGTTAGTAGTCAAATGCCTTAGGACTATGCCACCAGAAATAAAGAGGGAGGGACATGTGTGAGAGGAACCAGTGTTCATCTTGACATTTTTCATCTAACTATAAAATACTTAGGCTAAGATGTTGGGGTACCTTTTGGAAAAGATTAATACTATACTGGTTATGTATATGTGATTTAATGTTCCAGTATAATGGGATATAATTCATCTTTAGGCCTTGCTTGAGAGGACTGGTTATACCCTGGATGTAACCACAGGACAAAGGAAATATGGTGGTCCTCCACCAGACAGTGTATACTCTGGTATGCAACCTGGAATTGGAACAGAGGTAAGTGTTCTTCAGCTGTTTGCCAAAATCCTTCCAATTTGTGAACTCTTCTTTATATTATATGATAGAGAAGATACTTGATTCCTTTCCAGCTGTGGGTATTGTTTCTATTTTGCTGTTGTCATGAGCAAGGATAGTCATATGTCTAGTTGATACCTGAACACCTTATAATGGAATGCAGGATGTTTGGAATTGATTGCTAAAACTGCTACTAGTAACACTGTATTAGATGCTTGGTAAAGTTAGGGAGAAGTGATTACTTCATTCTGCTCTTTTTTATGTCTAAATTTGAACAGTGGTTGTCCTTCCTCTATTCCCTGACTCCTTCTCCCCTGAAAAGTTGCACAGAAGGTAGTCATTGTTTGCTCTGAAACATTATTGATGGGAATAGGTTATACAAGAGAAAAATGTGGACTCAAAAGATTAAACACATTGGTCTGTATTTGAACAAAGAAGCAATTCTTCCTCCATCTCTCCCTTCCTAAATGTTTGTCCATATTCCTTTAAACTAGCCTATTCTAATCCTTTAAATAGGGAGAACTATGTGCCAAAATAGCACTTGGCTGTTAACTGAAAAGTTGGTGGTTTGGACCCACCCAGCCACTCAGTGAGAGAAAGACCTGGCATCTGTTCCTATAAAGATACAAGCTAGAAAACTTTATGGGGCAGTTCTTATCTGTCACATGGGGTGGTTATAAGTCAAAAATCAACTCGATGGCACCTAAAAACAACAGGTGCCAAATACAAACTCTTAGAGAAGGAAACTTTCATTGTTTGATGTCTCCACTGTATATCTTCAGTACCTAGCAAATGCCAGGAACATAGGCACACAATATTTGATGCACAATTGATTGTAGTCTTTCTCTTTAAGTACTAAAATCATAGCTTTGCAACTTAATATCTAAACTGTGTTGAATGGTAATTTTATAGAACTTTCTTTTAAACAAAGAGACAATGGGGTAACTTCCATAGATGATGATGCCAGTTAAATATTTAGGTGGTATTATGATGTAGCTTGTATTTTGATTAGAGTTGTAAGAAATCGTAAACATTTACTCAGACTTCTGTTTGAGTAACTTTAAAGCAAACAGCAAATACTTTTTTGAGGCTCTTGTAAATGATACCCTCC